TCTGTTAACCTCTCAGACTGCATCTGACGAAATAAAATTTCAGGCGGCCGGATGTTCCTCGTTCAACGATGAGCGGTGAGAGTCTGCGCTACTACCCGCTGGCTGCTGTTGGTGTATGTCCTTCCTGGGGTGAGGTTGGGCAATATTTTCAGCAAGTAATATTCCTTCCCAATCCAGCCTGCTATTCTGTTTTACGACCACCGAGAGTTTTTTGCGACCGACGGAGGAGAATACCGATGTCACGAAAAAGTTTGGCATATTTCACCACCCTCCTCACTCATGAAATATTAAACGTGAATCGATAGCCACTATCTGGCGTGTAACGACAGCCTTCAGGAACTCGACTGCGGCAAAATAATGTTTGCAGACGACGTTAAGCTCTGGCAAGTCATTAAGGGTCCGAATGATCAGAGATCCCTTCAAGATAATCTGCACCGACTGCAAGCGTGGTCGAATAAATGGCTTCCAGATTTCAATGTGGAGAAGTATGCCATCCTTCATCTGCGTCCAACCAACTCTCATTCAAATGAGAGTCTGAGGACTTATCACCTGAAAGATATAAGGCTCCCCGCAGAATCTTCACAGAAGGATCTCGGGGTTTGGATACAGAACAACCTGAAATCAACACTGCAGTGCCACAAGGCTGCAAAAAACGCCATGGGAGTGCTGCATGCAATAAAAAGGGCTTTCGTAAATTTTGACCAAGACCTTTTTGGGAGAGTTTACGGCACATTTGTTCGGCCCCACTTAGAATATGACATACAAGCATGGCGGCCATGGCTGGCAAAGGACCAAGAATGCCTCGAACGGGTACAACGGCGTGCAACAAAGCTGGTAAACGGTCTAAAAAGCCATTCCTACACAGACAGACAAAATTGCCCTAATTTATTCCCTCGGTGTTACGGGCAGCAAAGAGGTGATCTTATCCTCGTCTTCAAGATAATACATGGTCTTGAGTATGGACTTAAATTTGAGGACATGTTTCAGTGGAATCTTTCACCTAATCTTCGTGGTCACTCGATGAAGTTACGGACAACAATGTCCAGGCTGAATCTCCGTTCTGAATTTTTCACGCAGAGGGTAGTGGAGAAATGGAACGATCTCCCTCAGTCATTCGTGGAGGCTACATCCCTGCAACTCTTCAAGAAACGCTTGGATGATTATTTGTGTCCCCTGTTTTCCCTCGACGGTCTGAATCTGAACTAATACCCCTGGTCCCCACAAATATTTTCTCTGAGACAATGCTACTCAAATGAACCAAGCACTGTTTTAATAGTGAATATTTTTGTTCGTGTACAGTTATTTCTAACGAGCTGACATGTACTCAATAGGGTTTTCAAAGGCTTTGCCTATTATCCTTTCCAAATAAACTGAAATAAACTGAAAACGCACACCACGTCCTTGCGTGAGGTATGCATGCCACCGACTTTCAGTCCTGTCTACAAACCTGCATTATCAAGGCCTTACGCGAGAGAGGCATAGTCAGTGCCTTATATGACTGTAACTGGGTCTGGTTGGGAACTTACTTGGCAGATTTCACTGCGGAGGTAGTGACCGATTCCATGACGTCGAGCTACATAAAGATGCTGTTCCTTATCTTGATAAAATTCCACATCTCATCCCTCAGGAAACCTGTGATGTCAAACGCTGGTTTTTACTAATCCTTTTGAATGTGGCCGTGCGGTCGTCTGCGTCTGTTGGATGGGTATTTATTCAAATGACAATTGAGAAGGGTGATATTTGAAGGCATCATACATTAATGTAAAGTCCTATTTATGAATAATCGAAACCACAAAAATTTTTAGGCTGCCAATTTTAATTTGAGAAGACACTTTTCAAATACGTCTGGACGTTTCTGGAATACTATTCGTTTTATTTAGCTTCATGCGTGCTGCTGAAAGGAAGAAAATAGAATCCGTCCAATATTTTTTCACTGAGAGCGTTTTAACCTTGGACCGCCAATAGTTGATCTACTAGGAGCGTTGCGGGTTTACAGGCCTTGACCCATTGTTGTTTCATCGATTGCAAAAGGAGCTCATCTTACCGCTTAAGCTCTTAAACCACTGTACTTTTAGCCCGCTTACTACTTTAAAACATCTTGACCATCCCGAACTTATAGTCGCTGTTAGGTCCATTTATTTCTTCCTCTGGTACTTTCCGTTAAATATCGTCGTTTCCTTTCTGTGAACAGAAGTACAATTGGAAACAGATTACCCAGGAATGCTTAAATTCCGCAAAATCATTCATTGTTTAAGAGAATCATTACTCGTTTTTTACATTCAGAAAATCTTCCACATGTTTTAGGCGCTGAATCTACCTATTTTAACCACCGTAGTGATGGAGTTCGTGGTCTCAGATCCCCTGGCCGGTCTCAGCACGGACTGTTTCCTCAGCCGCCAGCAAACAGCGGTTGCTGAGTGCGTTTTTTGGTCCAATAACTATCTCATAAAAGAGAACTGAGGCTGGAAATACCGGAGTAATTTTACCCATCCCTTTCTGGACTGCCATCAGTTCACGGACAACAGTTGTTTCCCCTGAAACATCCAAGCTACAAAAACATCACCCTCTCGATTCTTCATAAGGAGTTTTTTCCCTGTTAGTTCAATCCGTATTTTGCCCTTCTTTGGTGGTTTCTGCGAGCTGGCGTCAAATGCATTTATAATTAGTATTATTATTATTATTATTATTATTATTTTTAGTATTAGTATTATCTACGGACACCCAACGAAACCTTGGGATGTATATGCTAGAGTCGGAAATTCATTTTGAAAATCTTTCTACTCCAGCCTATGAGCAGCGTCGATAAAACTGAATGCGTCGTACTAAGAGTGGCTTATTTCTGATTTCAACACTATAAAGCATCCCTACAATAACAAAGGTGTACTTGGATAAATTTCAGGAGAATCGTCAAAATATGAAACCTGGATCGTAAAATTCAACGGAAGGATGAAAAATTGTCTTTATGCAAAGAACTAGACAAGTAATACCAATTGGGCAACAAAGCTCCCATGAGGCCGCAATTCCGCGGGAACAAGTTCGTAGACATCGTCAGCGCCTATGCCCTCCCAATGTTTAACTTTGGCGATATGACGAATAAGTTCAAAAAAAACCTGCATGCTCCCCTAGAAGATGTGCTCAAAGTGGACAAACTGGTTGTTTTTGTTGAACTCAATGCTCGCGTCGTCACAGTCCATGTTGTCTGGGAGGAAATGGTCCGTCGCCGTGGGATTGGCAGCTGCAGGCTTGTGCGGGGACATAATCGTCTTCTAGCCAGTATCTTTCACCATCCTTTCCATGAAGAGGCGACGTAGTGCGTCTTGGCTCAGAAGCGTGGTCAGCGTGTCGTGCTCGTGAATAATGTCATATGTGCCCCCCCTCCCCAAGCGGGCCACGCGGTAGATGCGCTGAACCAACACGAGAGCCATACCGGATTCTGGCGGGCGTTATCTGATTGCGCACCATAACAAATGTCAGCATTTCGGGTACGGTGCCGGTAGACATCGAACACACTGGGACCCCTGCCGCCCTCCATTGTTGTTGGTTTCGTGCAGGAGGCCATCGTCAGAGACTGTGAGGATGCGACATCAAATGAGCAGTTTTTGTAGTCAAGCCATGAAGGGGGGGGGATATTAGTGCAGAGAGTGGCATTTGCGATAAGCTGAGTCCCACGCCGTCTCACGGTGTCGTGACTGCGTGCATCCTTGGCTGGAAGTTGGGTCTCACCTCTTGGCCGCAGGAACGGAGCGTGTGATAGCAGGGGGGTATGCCAACGTGCCTGTTGATAGAGTTGGTGTCAGACACCCAGCCCTCCAACTGTTTTCGCCCTGTCTTCTTGTTTGCCCGCGCTACTATCCGCGTGCTCGCGAAGTTGAATTCGTGGCCTTCCTCTAGGGTGTAAGGGGCTACCTGAGACAAGGGGTCGCCTCTCCGGACTGCCCGTTTGTGCTCCGCTATTCGTGAGCTAAGTCGTCGTCCGGTTTGTCCTGTGTAGTGGCGAGGGCAGTCCCGACATGGGATCTGATAGGCGACACCGATTGTTCTCCCACGTCCAAGCGATCCTTCGCTCGCATGATCTTGTCGCGCATGGTCGCTGTCGGACGGTGAGCGATACCCACGCCAAGCTCTCCAGCGATACGTTCCATCGCTTCGGGCACGTTCTTTCTATATGGTAGAGAATGCCAGAGTTTTGGCGGCTCTCCGTGGGTGCGTGTGGAGGCAGCGGCTGACGAAGATGTTCGGATATCCATTCCTTGCCAGTTTTTCCCGAAGATGCCGAAGTTCTCGTACTCGTCCCTCTGGCCCACTGCAGTTCGTTTTTACCCTCTGAAAGAGTGTCCTAACACAGCTACGTTTATGCGCCATGGGGTGGTTACTGTGGTAGTTGAGAATCTGAGTCGTGTTAGTCGCCTTTCTGTACACCGTGGTGTTGAGTTCGCCAGTGGGTGTGCGTGTGACGAGAACGTCAAGGAAAGGCAGCTGTTCGGAATGCTCTTCTTCCCTTGTGAACTGAATGTCCGGGAAGATGCCGTTGAGCAGGTCTTGAAAGTCGACCAGTCTCCTCCTTTCAATTATAGCGAACGTGTCGTCCACGTACCGACGCCAAAATGCAGGTTCATAGTGGTCGAAGGCGACTTTTTCCAGTTCCTACAGGACTAGTTCTGCAACCAGGCTGGATATTGGCGAACCCATAGGCGTTCCTCTGATCTGCTCGTATGTTCTGCCATTGAAGGTGAAGAAGGTTTGTTGGCAGAAGGCAAACAGTTGCAGTAAGGGGTCGACTTTTAGGGGTCTGTTCGTTTCGTTGTAATTTTCTTCGAGTCGTTTGCGAAGAATCCGCGTGCCAGGTCCGGTGGGATGGAAGTGAATAATGAAACCACGTCAAAGGACAGCATAATCTGATCCGGTCGGACAACCTTTCCTCGGATGTCGGTCAGGAATCGGGAGGCCGAACTGATGGAGGTCTTCGAGCCTTCTCGGAGAAATTTAAGTTTTTGGGCCATTCACTTGGATAGATTGTAAGTGGGGCTGCCTTTCAAGGCAACGATCAGTCGAAGGGGATCTTTGGGCTCGTGGATTTTGGGTAATCCATAAAACCGGGCCAGGGCCGTGTCCGTTGGTTTCATCTGTCGCCATTCGTCTAGCGATATAGCACTGTTTCGTTTGAGTCGCTTCAGGAGTCCAGTTAGTTGACCAATCATCGATTTGGCTCGCGAGGAAGGCATGGATTTGTAGGACTGTTGGTCGTCGAGGAGAGCTTGTGCCTTTTCGTTGTAGTCAACGCGGTTCATCACGACGGTTGCTCTTCCTTTGTCGGCTGGCAGCACTATTATATCTTTGTCCACTTTTAATTCCTTCATTGCTTCGATTTCTGTGGGCGACATATTATTGGTGGACCTGTTCGTCGGCAGTAAGGAGGTGACTTTCTGGTGTACGGTGTGTTTAGCCTCGTCGGTTGTGTTGGTTCTTACCAGCATAGCTTCAAGTGCAGCAATAAATTCGGCTGGTTTGACATCTGCCGTATTAAAGTTGGCTTTACGAGTCAGCATTCTCAGTTCTTGTTCCGTTAACTGTCTGGAAGATAGATTGTGCACCACATTTCTGTTCTTCTTGTATTTGGGTTTCAATTTTCCGAACTTCTGCTCTAGGTTCATGCGTTTTAACTCCTGTCTCCTTTTTGCCACGATGAATATTGTCCGAACTTCATATGGTCTCCTCTTAATACCGTAGAGAAATGTATGGTTTTCCGTACGCGGAAACTATACTGCTTGTACTTTGGAAACCCTGAATGCAAGTGTTACGGCAGGTCGGGTTCAAAATTATTCCGGAATTGGAAAAATTTTTAAAAACCGAATTGTACACCTCCTTTGAGCGTAAAATTGGAAGTGGACGTCAGGTTCTACCGAATGAGCAAGAGAATGAATATTTTTACGCATATTTTCTATGAAATATAATTGAATTTTTAAGGGTATCGAAAATCAATGAGAAAAATTCATGCTAATTAAGTAGCCATTTTTACAGAGTATAGTTTTTGCATGCAGCCAAAAAGAAGTTCGTTCGAAAGCCGGCATACTGCGATAAGTGAATTATTATAGAATTACGCTACATGATGATTAGTTTTACAACCCTATCTAATTAATCTTTTCGAAACGAAAACGCATTTCGGAATTTCGGTTGACATTTCATGAGTTGTCCCACCTACTGTAGGTAGTCATTTTTACATTAGACCGAAAAGAGGTGCGTTTAAATACCAACATCGCAACCTCGCTTAAGTAACCCTTCCTAATCGAAAGCGCATTTTAAAATTCCAGTTAACGTTTCATGAGGTCGGTCACTGACTGTAACTCCTACACCTAAAACTCCTCTACCACTAGAGTCCCAAACACCGCCACACCGACAGCTCACTAGCCACAACCCCATCCTGTCCTCACTGCCACTGCAAATTTGCACCACGCATGGACCTAGTCGGGCACTGGCGGATTCAATAGCGCGGAGACTGGCTTGCCAGTGACAGGAGCTCCACCTGTCCCACCCGCTTTACAAACCCAAGGACATTCCATCATCTTATGGGCCTATTCGGCCAAACGCGTACTCATTAAAACTTGCGGCAAAGCATCGCAGAACCTACCCCACCAGTTCATACACTACACGCGAACCCGCCTCACAATACACAACGCACGGGCAGGGCTTGCGTGCCCTCTGGCTCAATCTCGTTTCTGGCCAAGTCCAATACGACTTACGTAGAGGAGTTCTTGCACTTTCGTCCGCCATTAGGCTCAATCCCACTACCAGATAACTGACCGACTCGGACAAGGTACTGGCGCATTGAAGAGGGAAGTAGGAGAGACAGTTACGTCGACAGTGGGGGGAGGGGTCATTCCCACGACATATGAGCGCAGTCTCAAGCATAGTAAAGCTAACGCGGTCTAAGCCTACCACGAGTCGTGACTTGGAAGGTTGCCAGCTGGCTGGATGACTCGGAGTAACATTATGGGAGAAGAAAATTGTCGCTCATGAAAGGATAAAAACGGGCAGGACCGGACAGCATGTGGCAGGGCATAACGGATTTCATGAAGAAGTAAGTATGCAGGT